GGATGGTAGCTGTGTGGGCATGAAAGGGGCAGGGGCAGCAGCAAGCAGCTAGCTGAACCTTAGAATCTGGAAGCCCCATTTCCAGGTCAATGTCAAAATTAAGTCACCTTCCCCTGCATCCTGGGCATCTCGCCTGCGTCCCAGGCTGCCTGTGAACACCTGTGTTTGCTTCCTGGGTGTCTGGACCGCAGCAGCAAGGCCTGGGCCTGACTGAGGTAAAGGCTGTTCTGTGTCCACCGAGCAGCACCTGAGCAGGCCATGTCTAACATACAGGACAAAGGGGAAATCTCGATCGTTCGGAACCTTGGTCCTCCCAGAGCCATGAGAAAGGTCTCTCTTATAGAGCAGTCATGGAAATGAAAGGTTGCCTTATCTGCCTGCCTTTGTTTATTACACTATTTCAGGGTTTGTTGTTATTGTTTCTAGGTTTTTCCAGACAGTTTCTCTGAGTAGTCCTGGCTGTCCTGGAACTCGCTCTGTAGCCCAGGCTGGCCTCGAACTCACAGAGATCTACCTGCCTCTGCCTCCCAAGTGCTGGGATTAAAGGCGTGCACCACCACCCTGCTGGCGTTTTTTGATTAGTTGAATTTGTTTCATTCTGTTTTACTATTGATGTTTTACTTATTTAAATAAGTAAATTTAGCTTGTGCTCAGACTGAACGGTTATTTAGGAAAAAGAGTGCTCGGGCATTGCTCTTTCCTGTCCTGAGAGCAGTGGTTCAGTGTGTCTCAGAAATCACAAAACTAATTAGGTGCAGACGAGTCTGAGCCTCATAATCAGTGAAGGGCAAAGCCACCAATGAGGACCCAGGTCTCAACATCAGGCCTGCACACCTGCTCTCGATCACACAGGGACTCTAAGTGAAAGAGACAATGTGTGTTTCCTGAACAGTCCCCTGAGTAGATTCCTTGAGTGTTTTCTTGCTCCCTGACTTGAAAACCATGTGTTAATAAATGGGACCCGGCCAGTTCAGCAGTAGTTCCCCCCGCTGCCCTCTTGTCCCGCGTCTGTGAGGGCAGGATCTAAAGACAGCCTTCTCTTTGGCAGTGTCTGCAGTGAAGCACTGACGTACTTCCTCACTCTAACATCCGAAAGTCACCGCGAAGCCTGGACTAATCTACTCCTGTTGTTCCTAACTAAAGTTCTAAAGATCAGTGATAACAGGGTAAGTGTGAGGCTGCCTCCATCCCCGTCCCTTACAGTAGAGGTGGCCACTCAGAACCTCGGCTGTATACTACACTACACCTAGGCTATGCAAACTCACTTAGCTTTGTTTTTCTAACCAGCAGTTCAGTTAGAATTAGAACCCCTCAGACCGTAATTGACAAGCTCCTCAACATTGTGGAGTTATAAAACTCCCCCAGTTGAAAACAGGCCTCCAACCCACACAGTGTGACCTTGACCTCAGCCTCTGCCCCACCATGTCTGGTTCTTGGGCCAGTGTTCCAGGTGACCAGAGGGAACAATTTAGACCAGTAAAAATAAAGATAAAAATTTTAAGTAAATGTATAGATGCATACATTTACATATAAATCATAAACATTTTATTGCAGTATTTTTAAAAAATGTACATTTCAAAATTTTTTTTAAGCAGCTTACAGATTAGGAGCCCTAAATTTCAAATGGCCAAGTTAGGTCACCTGATACTTGAAACTTTAGAGCAGCATAGGAGAGCCCGTGGGGCAGGGGAGGGCCCCTCAGTGCTGTCAGGTGTCTGTCCTGAGTCACGGTCCCTGGGTCCAGATGCATCTGCATCTGTGCTGAGCCAGATGAGGCCTGGAGTGAGTCTCCCTCATCGTCTGCTCTCTGGCCAGTGTGCTTGCTGTCTGCTTCCCTGTCTGGTGCAGTGTGGGAGAAGAACATGAAGGAGAGAAAAGAGCAAACCAAAGCTCAGAGATGAAGAAGGATTAAAGCAAAAAATGAGTCCAAGTATATATATATACCACTGGACCTATGAAAGTGGAATGTCATGTTGCAGTTGGTATTAGCCAGGGTTCTCTAGGGATTGTGTGTGTGTGTGTGTGTGTTAGAATGGGTTATAGGCTATGGTCAGATTGTCCAGTAGTGGCTCTACCCACAGAAAGGCATTATGGGCTGCCACTAGAAGGTATGACCCAGATTTAGGGTGGGTCTTCCCACCTCAAATGATCCAACCATTTTGAAATGCTAGGTAGAATCTCCCCTTAAAACTTAAGAATTATATTTAAAGATGGCAATATAATAACTCATACATTGTAAAAACTCATTTTCTTCCCTATCCTGCTTGCTTTTGCTCAACATATAGGAAAAGCATGTTAATTTATTAAATTGTGTCAGATGTATAGTAGAAAATGTTTTTTAAAACAGCAAAGAACCAAGTAGCCTGGGTTTGCGCCTAGGTTTTTTGTTTTTGTTTTTTTAATTCCTTTTGGGCTTTCAGTTGTATAATCCACGTCCTTAGCACTTGGGCAGACCCGTCTCTGCGGTCAGGGGCCTCCCCAGCCGCTCTAGCTCTTAAAGGAAGGTTAGCGTCTGGTTTGTAATACAAGCAGTACTAATGGAGACGTTCTCTCCCCCAGTTTAAAGCTCATGCATCTTTCTACTACCCTCTCCTATGTGAAATTATGCAGTTTGACTTGATTCCTGAACTTCGTGCTGTTCTTAGAAGATTTTTCCTGCGAATTGGAATAGTTTTTCAGATATCACAACCACCTGAACAGGAACTTGGAATAAACAAGCAATGATGAGAACTGAATATTTTTCTGTTGGTGTTTACATTCCTCCGCTCTGTAAAAAGGACCTTGGGGCAGAGGTTTCCTACCTGAAAAATTGTTTCTCTGAATTGCAGTGTCTGCGAATTACTGGTAAAGATGCTTACAGCTATCACTCAGTCGGAACACTCCCTTTAGTAGTCTGGTGGCTTCTCTGTCACGTTGGGCGTGTGTTGAGCAGAAAGCCTGTCAAACAGTGTCAGCTCACCTCCATGGGTCCTGCCCTGTCCTGAGCAGGGCGAGCCCCACACCTATGGCAGGTACGGAAATGAAACTTACCCAAAGAAGTATAGATATAAAGATGGAACTTCTGCAGGAAGTACAACTCAGGAGAGCTGTATTTTGAAGGATAAAATGTTTATAATTGGGGGGAAGGGAGAAAATTATTGCTCATGGTAAAAGATATTTAGCAACTATGGTATTCTTACTCTGAAGATTTTTGCACACTCAGGCTATCTGAGATACTGGGAATCATCATCTTTCTGTGAAAATGTACAGAGATGCAGGTCTGTAATATAAAAATCTTAAAACATATTGTTCCTCCTGCACTGTTTTATTTCTTTATTTTCTTATCTACTTGCTAAATACCCATAATATTTTGTCAAATGCACTAAAACATTTGGGCTGAACTTTTGTCTTTTGGGGGTGGGGTGGTCATATTGAGGGCTTAGTATGCCCTGAATCTGTTATGACCAATGCTTGTCAAGATCCCAACAGGAGGGGAAACCACCAAGGTAGAAGACACCCGTGCTGACGAGAACTACCTGTACCATACTCCTAGGGCTTTAGAGATGAGCCATTCCAGTCGGTGACTTTTCACAGACGGAAACTTGAATCACTGCGAGATGAATCTAGGTTGCTGTCACTTTTTCTTTTGGGTGGCGGGGCTCGATGTAGATTTTCTTCTGTGTACAGAATTTAATGTTGAATATATTAAAATAACAAATCTGGCATGGTTTGGGGAGGTTAGACTTACTGGAAATGTATTCATACTGTGAATTGTGCTCTGATGGTTAAAATGAGAAGCTTGTCAAGCATTCCATATTAACAGTGGATGTAGAAAATTTTTTCAGATGGATAAAATGTATAGGGTACAGATGTAAAGTTTTCTATGTAAAAAATTCTGTACAACTTTCTGTACAATATTGATTCTCATCTGGCATATCTAATCAGGTTATAGGTCAATAAAGTTTTTGAATTATTTCAACAGTGCAGTTAAAACTGTGTAACCTACAGCCCTGTTTGCATTGATTTTTTTAAGTCCAAAGTATAAAAATGATATATTTTTAGCTACAAAGACACTTTTTTGCAGTCTATGCATTAGGTCCTTCAACTGCTTTACTTTTTTTTTTTCCTTAAGATTTATTTATTTCATGTATGTGAGTGCTCTATTGACTTTACTCCAGAAGAGGGCATCGGATCCCACTGTAGATGGTTATGAGCCACCATGTGGGTGCTGGGAATTGAACTCAGGACCTCTGGAAAAGCAGCCAGTGCTCTTAACCACTGAGCCATCTCTCCAGCCCCAACTTCTTTTTTTAATCCTAGGATATCCAAAAATGTATTTACTACTCAGGGATAAAGCTCTTTATTATGAGACTGGGAAAATGTTCCCCTACCTTTAAGGCAGTTTGTAATGTTGCATTTTGTAAATGAGTCGGTTCCAGGTATGTGATACATAGCATTAAAAACCAAAACAGTATATTGGTTAATTTCAAAACAGGAAATGTGTTGGTCTTTGCTTCCATATATCTCCTTAGACCAGCTCTATTCAAACCAGGCTGAATGTTAGAACTAAGTCCCTTGAATGTCTTCTGATCTAAGCCACTTCCTCCCATGACTGGTGTTGGTCCATGCTGTAGTGTCCACTCTCCATAGAGGAAGACGCAGGCCTTCTTACTGTCAAACACTGACAGAAGAAAATTATTAGTAGAGCAGAATTGAACATAAAAATTGCATGGAGCCCAAAACTCTTCTGTCCTTATCTGCCATTGATTTTGTCCCTGGAAATATCAGAGAAGCAGTGGCTGGGTTGACTTCCACTGTCACCACTGAATGTACTGAAGACCCTAATCCAAGTAAGAATTATTTTCTAGAAGTTGAACAAGTCTTTTTCTGAAGTACCACTTACTGATTAGCCAAGGGTCTCAGGCAGTGGACAGAAGACCACTGCCTCTGTCCTTTCTGGGTGGGAGCTTTTTAGCCTCTAGAAACCTCAATTCTATTTCAAGTAAAGAAACTGACATTGGTAGTTAATAAAAATAAAACTTTATTTGTATCAAGAAATAGTGAAATCAGATAAATTAGTAACTGAGTGAGTCGGTGCTTTTATCAACATAAAAATAAAATGGAGGCAGAAAGATGGCTCGTGGAGGTGAGATGGTCACAGCTCCCTTCACTCCTGTGAAATCTGTAGCTACACATGGCGTGAAGATGAGTGTGGCTTGTTGGAGTCGCTCACTTACATAGCAGCTGGACTAGTCACAGCCACAGCAGGTGCATTCACTATGAACTGTTTGGACACAACGCGAACAGTGGCTGGTGTGCTAGTGAAATGTGGTCTGTTTCACAGTACTGTTAACACTTCCTCACCTCTGAATGGCAAGCAGAATTAATGCACATATGGTAGTTAAATCAAGAGTTCATTACCACCCATGGCAAAATTGCAAAAATAATTCTATACAATTATGTTATAAATCAATAATCAGGGCTTTTTATATACATTATATATAATATGTATAAAACATGTATCATCATGGGAAAAATACACTTTCTATATAGCTAGAACATAAATAACTAAAATTTGGGTAGGGCCACAAGCAAGGCATTCCAGATACAGACTGAATGTTCCTTCCATTGTAAAAGGCACTGCTGGGTCCAGAGAGGGTTTATTTTGAATTAAGCGTGTGCAGCAGACAGGCCCTGCCAAGTGAAAGTGCCTGGCTTTCCAGGAACCTGCCGCTGCTCCTCATTCAGCTGCTCTGCCATGAACCGTTTCAGAGTTTCAGAGGTGCCTGGGCGGAGCCAGGGCTCAGTTGCCACAGAGTTGGATCCATCCTCACCCAAGTGTTTCATGATGTCATCAAGGTCAACCAGTGAACTCTCATCATCTACAGGAGGCAAAAGAGAGAAAGTCAGGTGGCAGGTAACATACACAGGGTATCAACAGTCCAGGCCATTACAACTCTGCATCTCTTTACAGAATCACAACCCAACAAGTACTCCTTTGGGAGTAGGAGGCCATGCCAATAAAGGGCTATGTTGGGAGTGGGAGAGAAATAAATTGACTCCATGGCAGTCAGCTATAAGAACTCTAACTCTACCAAGGAGATTCTACTAAACATTCAAAGCTGACTGTAGAAACACAGACTTGTTTTATGTCTGTTACCATTAGGAACAGTGGACATGCCACAGACTTGAATTGAGCAGGTTGAGGAACACTGGTCCAGCCTATAGCACTGACGCAGGCCCGTCGAAAGTCATTCCAAGGAAATGACAGCTGCACTAATCTAAGGTGGCCCAGAAATAGGGGACTTGTTCATTAACCACATCTGATATTACTCAAATTCTATATATTTGACTTAATAAATATAAAATAGGAAAAATCTGTCTTCCTACCCTGTGATGTCAATTTCTTTTTCTAAAAAAAAATGACATCTCCTGGTCTGGGTTACTCAGCAAAGGGGTGTGCAATCAGTTTAATGAGCAATCAGTCCACATCGTACCAAAAAGCTCCTGTTTGAAAGGACAGTGTTAAAACAAAGAGTTTAGACATTGAAAACCTGAAAGAATCTTATGTTTTTCTATCTCCTCTCAAATATATCCTTCTAAGTTATCAGTTAAAGTCTACTGGTTCTAAAACAAGGCAATTCCAGGTATCCATTAAGGAGAAATGCCTTTGAAGACATCCTCTTCACTAGGGCATGTTTTCCAGGTCTGACATTAAATGAAAAGTACTGTTCCCTTCATTGACCATGCCTGCTGCTTCGGTGGAAAAGTATTTCCCATCAGAACGCGTCACTCCTGCACTAGAGATAGTTGAGGAAGTGGCAACAACAAGGAGACTTCAGTGCAGTGTAACAGACCAGTGAGCTCTGTCAACAGCCACTTACTAAAACAGTGCTGGCCAATGATCCCAGCAACGAACAGCCTGATGTTTTTAAAAGGGTGTGGCATAGGCTGGCAAAAGAGGTCTGAAGCTGCCCTGTGCGTCATGAAAAGTTTCAGCCAAAACCACTCGTCAGAAGATGGGCTTGTTGGCATAGAATATTAACAGAAAACTGTTTTTCTTTCTTCATAGCGCAGAAAGCCAAGTACAGGTAAAAGTTTCTTTATAATACTACAGACTTTAAGATGTGTCAATTAAAAACACAAAGCTGGTCATTTCTTACTCCAGTGAGTAATGACCTAAGTCAGCACTTTTCCCTGGTGAAACACTGAGGATGTATTTCATACACCAGTCTCCTGGAACTGCTTAGGCTCAACCCCAAGCCCTGGATTTGCAGGCTAGTTATGTCCTTGACCATAAAACTCAAAAGGACTTCAAAACTCATTCCCCCAGATGTGCACCAGCCAGGGAACATCTATCTGCATGGTACCTGTGTTAGTGGGTTTCTTCTGATGCTCGTTCAGTCTTCTCATTCTGTCTTCATTTCTCGTTCTGAGCTGATCGACATTTACACTGGAGACAGATTTTAAAGAGAGACCATCTGGTGGGATGTGGAGCCGACTACTATCCTACAGTTACAGAGAGAGAATTTAGAAACGCTCCAATAGTCAGACAGCATAGTTTTACCCTGGATCAATACACTCTGTGAAGAGCAAAACAGGAGTGTGTGGATTCTGTGTGCTGTCTTTGCAGGGTCAGGTGACTTTGTCAGGGCTAAGAGGTAGCACTGTGGTGACTTAATGCTGGCAGCTGAGTAAGGTCCAGGAATTACAGGGCACAAAAAGAAAACACACACAGCAGAAGCTGAGGCTTAGTGTTCAAGTCAGTGTCAAGGCAGAACACACAAAGCAATGGAAGAAATTAATCCTGAAAAGTAATCATGGTATTTTTTTTATAAAGACCAAACCAAGTGCAATAGGGAAAGAAATAGTCTTTTCAATGAATGGTGCTAGAGAAAGAAAGTCTGCATGCTAAAGAAGGAATTCAGACTGCATATCTCATACCAAATGCAGAGCTAACTCAAGTGTATCACAAGTAAACCTTCATGGTTTTATGTTGGATGAATTTCTTACGTACATGATAAAAGAAAACTGGTAATTTGGACCTCATTAAAAGTTAAAAAGCATCTATGCTTTAAAACCTATCAAGAAGATAAAAAAGGACAATCTTTTTAATAGAAAATATTTGCAAATCTAACATCTGACATAATTATAAAGAAGTCTTAAGTTTCCCCAGTGAAAATACTACACACAATTTAAAAATGGACCTTTAAAAGGTTTGAACTGACATATCTGCAAAGGAGATCCACAACCAGCTAGGAAGCACATGAGCTATTCTATGACACAATGGACATTTTAGCTGTAAGCAAAATGATGGCTGATAACCACTACTGGGCACAGAGAAGTAGGAAATTCATATACTGCTATAAATGAAAAATGTTTGAAAATGGTATAAAATGGTGAACATGTTTTGGGAAATAGAAATCCTTAAAAATGTTAAATTCATACAGTGACCAAATAATCCAGTAATTCAGAGAAATAAGTAAAACAAAACAAACATCCACATGAAACCTGTACTTTGAATGCTAGCGGCAATCTTAGTCATGACAGCAGAAATGTGACACTAACCCAGGTAGGTATTCATCACCGGTTGAATGAATACGCAAACTGTAGTGTCTACATATAATGAAGAGGGATCTGGTATTGACACATGCTATAAGATGGATGGCTCTTGAGAAAGAACAAGAAGGTAGCCATTTCTATGAATAGGCAGAAAGACAACACAGACCAAAGCAGATGAGCAGTTCCCTAGAGCAACAGCATTTCGTAGCCTGATAAAGCTAGACAAGTGACCATGCTAGTTAGCAGACTGCTATTAAGCTCCTGAGTACAAGTCATATAAACGAGAACAAAGAGATTAAGAAGCTGTCCAAAAAAGTTGTCTACCCAAAGAAGGGCACCATCAGAACATGGTTTGTTGAAGGCTCTGAAGCCTTTTATCAACTACACTGTAAAGCTATGGAAAAGAATATGGGTTTGAATCTTAGTCCTCTTACCTACTGACCTTGGGAAACTCACTTGACCAAAATGGGAGTTGCCGCCATATTTATTACGTTATTTCCAGGCTAACAGGCTTTTGATAAATGCTATCAGGTGCTTTGTGTGGCTTCACTAAAGCCCATATTTTATACAGGGAGTAAGACTGAGGCAGTAAGTTTAACATTTACAGGAAAGGATATCTATGCCATTTACAGAGCTACATATTGCCATCCTAAGAGCTACAAGTAACTGACGGCAGAGCCCAAGATTCAAACCACACCCACTTGATTTTCAAAGCAAGTCCCTCCCTGTTTTGTTTTTTAAATTGGACTACTGTAAACTGAGCCCAAATTTTGAGTCATCTACACTGAGAAGACGTGGGAAGATGGGCGGGGGGGGGGGGGG